TAAGTGCTTTTGGAGCATTGCAGGAGTAGTAGTGAACTGTGAGAAAACCTTACCTAAGTGTATCTGTATCCTGGTAGTTCTGATGGATGTGTAGCTAGGGAAGGTTAGGATCAGTTATAGTAACCTTTATATTTGCCTTTCATGACAAATATCCTCACCCACCTTGGTTGGATAGCAGACTTACTGTTTGGTAAACAGGAACAAATATTAGCAATTAATTATGTTCTGATCCAGTGTGCTTAGTCTGGTGAAAATAGTCTCAATGCATGTTATTTCTATTGAAATCAAATCCCTATTTTTTTAAGCATCCTAAAAAATTAGGAAGACAAATAACAGGAAGAGGTAGGGCATTATCCACCACGAAGCAAACATTAACTTCTTTGTCTCACAACCAGTAATTGTATATGGCAGCATCTGAAACTTTCGGCAGTTTCAGTAGCCTGCCTAATTTATTGTGATGAGTCTTCAAATGAGAGAGCATCTCAAGAGCCTGAACAATAATAATGGTGAATGACTTTGTGGTGGATAGTGAATAAAAGACAATATGCATGCCTGTGCTGATACTACATTGAAAATGAAAATACTAGAGCTGTCATAGTTCAATTCAGAGGACAAGCCAGTAAGATAATAACTTTTATAGAGAAGAGGCATTTAAATTATAATTTATTTAAGCATTTAAGTGACAGCAAACTGCTCAACACTTCCTCTCTATAGTGTTTATGCCCCAGAGCAGTTGAGTATCTACGGTACAAATTATTAAAAGCTATCTGTGAGAAATCACAAAACATTACGCTATTCCTTCATATGTTGAATATTAGTTACTAGCATATTTTTCTCACAGGTAGTTTTACAACAGTCTGATAAAGCAAGGCTCTGCCAGGTATTAAACACTGCATTTACTATTAATAAATACTGCAGCATATTGCAAATGTCATACAAAACTTAGTAAGCCTTCTTGGGGTTTTATATTGTTTACTGAACTATTTCAAGCTAAGCCTATGGGAGTCGGATTCTCTTTAAATCCATTTCCCTTAAGCAATGATTTTTCCCCTCCTCCTTCACTAAACAGTCTAATCATATGATGGTTACTCAGTGGTTCTCGAGCTGTTGTCCACCAGGCCATGATAAATAGTCTGCAGACGGCACCAAGCACTACATACCTTGATAGTGTTTTCAACTAAAAGTCCATTGTTAAAAGGTATAAAGGGTGAAAGAAGGTTTGACAGTTGACAGTAGCCTAGTATCGACATTTTTTAACCCACTATCAGTACTGATACTTTGGTATGAATAGATTTAATATCATGGTGTTCAACTCTGTTAATGTTGACAGTACAGATAAATTATATGTGTTGTTCATCCTTTGCGGGCAAAGACAACTGCATCCAGCCAGGCGAGCAGGGGAGACAGAAAAGAAATAGGAAGGAAACTGGGAGGGAGAAAACAGAAGAGGAGGAAAAGGAGAAAAGAAAGGAAAGAGAAAGGAGGGGGGTGGAGGCTAGGTTGCGTGGAGGCTAGGTCGGTAGGTGACTTATTAGCCCAATCTTTGCCTTGAACAATCTGCTGCAGCAGGATCAGAAAAGCTATGAGGACCGGGTACGAGAGGTTTTTGTTT